TACAATATGACTGACTATATTCCCTGTGCTGGACTTTCCATCCCCGTGACTATTCTGTAACTACCAATCTGTGCTTCTAATCCCTTCACCTTTCTGACTCAGCACCCCAAACGCCCCTCCCCTCTGGCAACCCCCAGTCTGCTTTCTATCTATGAGTCTGTTTCTTTTTGTTTGTTTATTTTGTTCTTTAGATTTTGCATATAAATAAAATCATGTGGTATTTGTCTTCCTCTGGCTGACTTATTTCACTTAGCATAACACTCTCTGGGTCTATCCATGGTGTTACAAATGATAAGAGTTTGTTCTTTTTTAATGGCTAAGTAATATTCCACTGTGTATATGTACTGCTTCCATGTCTTGGCTGTTGTAAATAATGCTGCAGTGAACATAGAGGTGCATATATCTTTTTGAATTAGAGTTTGGGTTTTTTTATACCTAGAAGTGGAATTGGATATATGATCAGAAGTGGAATTGCTGGGTCCTAAGGAAGTTCCATTTTAAATTTTTTGAGGGACCTCCATAATGTTTTTCATAGTGGCTGCATCAGTCTGCATTCCCATGAACAATGCATGATGATTCTTTTTTTGCAATGTTTTTACATTGATTTATTTGGTTTCTTGATTTATTGATGATAGCCATTCTGACAGGTGTGACATGCTATCTCATTGTGGTTTTAATTTGCATTTCTCTGATGATTTGTAATGTTGAGCATCTTTTCATATATCTATTGGCCATCTGTATGTCCTCTTTGGAAAAGTGTCTGTTTAGGACTTCTGTCCATTTTTGGAATGTTTGGGTTTTTTTTTATGTTGAGTTGTATGAGTTCTTCATACATTTTGGATATTAACTCCCTATTGCAAGTATCACGGGTGCATATCTTCTTCCATTCAGTAGGTTGCCTTTTTATTTTGTTGATGGTTTCCTTTGCTGTGCAAAAACTTTTTAGTTTGATGTATTACCATTTGTTTACTTTCTCTTTTATTTTCATTGCCTGAGGAGATATAAAAATATTGCTAAGAGAAATGTCATTGAGTTTACTGCCTGTGTTTTCTTTTAGGAGTTTTATGGTTTCAAGTCTTTAATTCATTTTGAGTTTATTCCTGTGTATGGAATAAGAGAGTGGTCTGGTTTCTTTCTTTCTTTCTTTCTTTCTTTCTTTCTTTCTTTCTTTCTTTCTTTCTTTCTTTCTTTCTTTCTTTCTTTCTCTCTCTCTCTCTCTCTCTCTCTCTCTTTCTTTCTTTCTTTCTTTCTCTCTTTCCTTTGTCTCTTTCTCTTTCTTATGTATCTGTCCAGTTTGTCTAACACCACTTATTGAATAGACTGTCTTTAACCCATTGTATGTTCTTGCCTCTTTTGTCATCTATTAATTGACCAGATAGGCATGGGTTTATTTCTGGGCTCTATATTCTGTTCCATTTACCTATGTGTCTGTTTCATGCCACTACCATGCTGCTTTGATTACTATGGCCTAATAGTAGATTTTGATTTCAGGTGGTATACCTCCAACTTTGTTCTTCATTCTCAAGATTACTGTGACTATTCATAATCTTTTGTGGTTTTATATATACTTTTGGATTACTTTTTGTAGTTTTATAAAAAATGCCATTGATATTTTGATAGGGATTGCATTGAATCTATAGATTGCTTTGGGTAAATGGACATTTTAAAGATGTTAATTCTTTCTATTCTTGAGCACAGTATTTGCTTCCATTTATTTGTATCTTCTTCAGTTTCTTTCTTCAATGCCTTATAATTTCCCAAGTATAGGTCTTTTCCTTTTATGGTTAAATTTATTCCTAGGCAATTTATTTTTATGTAATTATAAATGGGATTCTTTCTTAATTTCCCATTCTGATAGTTTATTTTTGGAGTATAAAAATGCAACCAATTTCTTAATATTTATTTTGTATCCTGCTACTTTATGAATTCATTTATCAGTTCTAGTAGCTTTTTGGTGAAATCTTTAGGATTCTCTATATACAGTATCAAGTCATTTGCAAATAATGACAGTTTTACTTCTTCCTTTACAATTTGGATGTCTTTCGTTTCTTCTTCTTATCTGGTTGCTATGGCTAGGACTTCCAATACTTTGTTAAATAAGAGTGGTCAAAGTGGACATCCCTGTCTTTTTCAAAATATTTTTAGTTTTTCATATGTGGTCTTTGTTATGTTGAGGTGTGTTCCCTTAATTCCCACTTTGATGAGTTTTTATCATAGATGGATGCTGGATTTTGTCAAATGCTTTTTATTTCTGCATTTATTGATATGATTATATGATTTTTATCTTTCATTTTGCCTATGTGATGTCTCACATTAATTGATTTGCAGATACCGAACCAACCTTGCATTTCAGGAATAAATCCCACTTGATTATCTTGTATAATCTTTTTAATGTATTGCTGATTTCTGTTTGCTAATAATTTGTTGAGAATTTTTGCATTTATGTTCATCAGGGATATTGGTCTGTAATTTTTTTTTCTTTGTAGGGTCTTTGTCTGGTTTTGGAATAAGGATAATGCTGGCCTCGTAAATAAGCTTGGGAGTCTTCCCTCCTCTTTAATTTTTCTGAATAGTTTGAGAAGGATAGGTGTTAATTCTTTGAATGTCTGGTAAAGTTCATCTGTGAAGTCATCTGTCCAAGACATTTTTTCTTTGGTTGTTTTTTGGATTATTGCTTCAACTTCATTGGTTGTAATTGGTCTCTTCAGATTTTCTGTTTCTTCTTGATTCAGTCTTAGAAGATTGTATGTTTTTAGTAATTTATCCATTTCTTCCAGGTTGTCCAATTTGTTGGCATATAATTGTTAGATAGTATTTTTTAAAAATAATCTTTTGTATTGCTGTGGTGTCAGTTGTCACTTCTCTTTCATTTCTGATTTTAGTTGTTTGGGTGCTTTCTCTTCTTTCTTGATGAGTCTAGTTAAAAGTTTATCAATCTTGTTTATCTTTTCAAAAAAACAGCTTTTGGTTTTATTGATTTTTTTTATATTATTAATTTAGACTCTATTTCAACAGGCCCTATTCTTAAGAAACACTTTTATGCATTATATTAAAATTAAAGTGGATCACACATATAATAATATTGGTACATGTTACAGAAATTCTAAGCTGGATTTTAATTCAAATGTTTTAGATTATGCCATTTTTAGGTTATATCTATTTAGATTTATGCACTTTTAAATAATCTTTCTGAATTATATGACTAATCCTCAAAAACTCATACAATTCTTATAAACAGTCAACATACACCTATCACCTGCCAGTGTAGACACAAAGCAGATCATACAGTGTGATTTCAGCACTTGAAGGGCAAGGGCCAAAGCTCACCCTTCGCACCTGAAGTAGGATAGTGATCCCCTTCGCAGCAGAGAAGTGTCTAGGAAGGGGCCTAGGCCGGGGACTAGACTGGGACGTGTTTGTAAGGCATTGGTAATACTTTGTTTCTTGTCCCAGCTGCTGGTTACACAGTGTGTTCACTTTGTGAAAATTAACTGAGCCATAGACTTAACATTTGTATACTTCTATGTATGTTATACTTCCATCAGGAAAAAGAAAAAGGGAGGAATTGTTATATTTTTTAATACTCTTGAATGCTTAGAATGTTCCAAGCACTGTGAAAAAGTCGCGTGATATCCCTGCATACATTTTAGAATAAGGTAAATGGGTAAAATGCTGAGTGCCAAGGCTCGCACAGAAAAGAACCAAATAAGCTGGAATAGTTCACTTTAGAGAGGGGAGAAACCAAATGGTGTAGGCAGGCTGAAAGACAGCGCAGAATGGACAGAGGGCATCTATAGGTGAGGGAACTGTGGGAAACTGGGTCGCAGGGCGAAGCAGGAGCAGGTCTGGTAGGACCTTATGAAGGACCGAAGTGAAAGGAATTGAAATTTCTCCTAAGCCACCAGCCTCCAGTGGAAGGTTTAAGCAGAAAAGTGCATGGTCAGAACAGGTGAACTTCCTTTCTAACCCTCCTACAGTTTGCCCTCAGCTCTCCAAAGTTCCAGCTTTTAGCCCAAAAGCACATGTGTATCTCATGCAAGCCCAAAGGCAGTGGGGTTCCCCTCTGGTTCAGTTGGGGGCACCAGAGGGGTTCCCCAGGCTCCTCTCCCTGGGAGCCTCCTCCCAGGCTGACATCAGCCAGGGAGCCTCTTCCGCGCATTCCTCACTGTCCAGGTGCTAAAAGCTCGCTCCCCAGGCGCTGCCCAGTCACGCAGCACCACTGTTGCTTGTTCGGTCTGGAAGCCACCTCAGGGAGTCCTGCCCCGCGTTTTCTATCCAGGAAAAGGAGGCCAGGCAGGTCCCTGCCCTCACTAAGCAAGTGTAGGAAAATGAGGACTAGACACCAGCTCTCAGGGCCTCTCGCTCTCTCCTGTCCCCAGTCAGTTACAACTCAGGAATCTCTACTGTTAGGGCAGGGGCTTAGGGAACAGTTTAGCTGGGGACAGAGGGAGCTTGAAGCTGCATTTGCATATAGTTTTATTTGAAATTGAGGAAACTTCAGCATGTGCATCAAAGAATAAGATACTGATGGGGAATGGGAGGCGGGGCGGGGGTGCGGGGGGTGGGGGGACACCGATTCCCTCCCAAACTGCATTCTGTTTCCTACCCTGAGGGCTGGCAGAATCCGTTTCAGTTTCTAAAGAGCCCCAGGTCTTCGCTGAACTACAGAACATACAAAACCTTTGTCCTCAATTTCAATATTTAATGGGCACAAGGAGCCACTGCTAGAGAGGGAAGCAGGAGATAAGAGGGGCCTGGACGGGATGGATTATGAAAGGATCCAGGTGCTTCCTTTCCCTCCCTCAACGACACAGTAACCACCAAAGCACCTGCTCTTTCTTTGTGAGCCTGAGTCCAGTGCTCCCCTTCAGCAGGGGAGGCGGGGGCAGAAGCATTTTCTCTCTCAGAGGCCCCAGGACTGTGGGCGGAGGTGGGAAGGAGAGGGGAAGGGAGGGCTGACTTCCAGCCAGAGGTTTGATGCTGTCCTCGGTCTGTTCCAGGGGAGGTTCAGACGCAAGAACAAGATGAAAGTTGTGCCGCTGCCGAGGTGTTGACAGCGCTGGAGGATGCTGGGAGGCCTGCTGTCAACTCCCCAGCAAACCAGAGCCACGGGAACCAACGCAAGCACTTTCATCCTTCATTACCCCAGTTACCTTCTGAGGAAGAAGGAATAAACAGGCTTGGAAGGGAAATAATGAAACTGACAGAGGAGCAGGCAGCTGCAGAACCAGAAGGGGTGGGGGGAGAGAGTCCCGTGGAGGGTCTGAGGGACGAGATGGGGCCATCCCCTCGGGGCCTGGCCTCCGTGCGGCTGCTCCCCAAATCTTGCCAGGACTCCTCTGAGTCCAGCCAGCCAGTGGCCCAAGCTCCCACTCTGGAAGATGGCAAGGAGGCAGCAGAGGGCAGTGGCCCAAGGAGCACCGTGAAAACGTGAAGGGGACAGGAACCTGGCATGGTGACACACCAAAGGCACTGGGGACCATAGAGAATTCAGCGTCAGACAGCTCTCTGAAGTTGCTTTCTCCTAAAACACCTCCAAGTCTGCAAGTGAGAAAAGATGCGGATCCTGTCGCAAACTGTGACTATGCTGAGGACACCAGCATGGTCTGATTTATTAAATGCGGGTCCTCCAGTGTCATCTCTTTCTGCCGGAGACGCGCTGCTGTGAACATGGCCAGGCACGAATCGTGTCCGCCATATGGCTGGTTTTCCGCATCCGTCTTTCTGTCAGCGTTTGTTTTATTAGAGATAAGATGTTTTTTATTAGCATTTAATGTTGTTGATCCAAATTATGGGAAGAGCTTGAAACCAATGGGGTTTTTAATCAGATCTCCGTCTTTGTAATGGTTAGGCGGCTGGAGAGAAAGGTGTAATTGAGTATAATGCGTCCAGAGGGCCCGCCGCCGCGCTCCATCACGCCAGGGCCCGGCAGGACCTCCCGTCTTGGGTGTTCTTGGCATCCCGCCTGCAGCACTGTCTGTCGTGGCTCCGACTGGCAGGTGGAACGGGGCTTAAGCAGGCTCAGAAGGTTGGGCTTCCAGTTTGAAATCCACAGCCCCTGTGGAGACCCGTTTGCTGACTGCTAGAGCTGAGTTTTCCAGCCTGTAATTCTGGAGGATTAATCGACCTGGATTGATGGGGGGCTAAGAATGGAGGAAGGGGACCCTGGGGGTGTGTTGATTTTTTGTTTCTGAGATGAGATGAGGGCCAGAACCTGGAAATATTGCCTCTCTCATTCAACCTGTGTTGCATACAGGGTTTTGTGACCATGCGCAATCAGGGCAAGGTATAGCTGCTTAAGGGCCAATTTCCTGCCTCACCTGAAGCCTCGAGCCCTTCACTCCAACAGAACGTAAAGTCGGCCTCCTTTGTGCCCCCCTCCACCCCCAAGTACTGGGATTTAAAAGACAATAAAACAAAATGACTAGAGTGGAGAGAGGAAAACAAAATGACTTTGTTACAGCCTTGGGGGTGTGGGGGTACTACCGTGGAACCAAGTACCAGCTCCAAGTGTGGGAAAAGAGGGAGGGGTCCGCCCTACCAGGTTCTTTCCTTGGGGATAAAATTAGCTTTTCTTGGCAGGATCTGGCGTTGCAGAAAATTGAAGGCTCATCAAACGATAGAATTTTCTTTGAGCTGAACTCAGTTTCTTTTCCCAGGAAGACCTGATACCAGCTCCCAAAGCTCAAAAGGCCTCTGAGAACCAGAATCGCTCCTTTGAGAGGCTCTTCTGTGGGGAATAAAAAGAGGCCCTGGAGGTGGGAAAGGTTGGAAGTTCTTCCTAAAAATCGGGTGTTTATACCAGGGTTGAAAGCTCAGGCGTGAAACTGCACACGGTGGCCAGCGCTCCCTGACACATCCCCACCCCACTTCATCCCACGCCACTCTGGGGGCGGAGCAGCGTAGTAGGAATTCGTGCTGTCTCGCTCTGCCGGGGGAAAGTGCAGGCAAGGAGGGCAGTCCTCTGCCACACGCACCGCAGAGGGAGCGTCCAGCTGCTTCCTTTCCACTCACCAGAGGTCACGCCGGTGGCACGGGGGCGTGGCCGAGCCAGTGCGCTGCTGCTGCTCCTGGGGAGCCGGACACCCCATCGGCCCCTGCCCGCCAGGCCCGAGTGGCCCATTCCTCCGGCTGCGCTCCAGCCTCCTCCTGCCCCGGCCTGCCCCCCGCAGCGCCCGCTCCAGGGAGGTCGCTTCTGCAGCTGCAGAGTGTACACAGCCCAGCAGCCACGGAAATCATTTTCCTGCTGCACTAGGCCTTAGCTGTGTGCAAACCTTCGGCACTACTGCATAGGACGCTGGAGTCACCAAAGGAAAACATAGCCAGACGTCATACAATAATAATAAAAAGATAAATCTCTTCCTGCAGAAGCTCTGGTTTTGACATACAGTTAGCTTGGTGCACATCTCTGGGGCCCATCATTAACCTTTTGAAAAGCAAGGTTATTACAATAAATTCCCAGCACGTTCCATCACGGACAACAAAATTCCCGTGAGCTCCAGGGAGTCTGGGGTTGAGGGCAGGGAGGCCATAGAGCGATAACCTAAACTCTGCATGTGCCATCCGTCCAGGGAGCTTTTGTGTTATCAGATGGCATTGGAGCCAATGAGATGATCCTGAGGTATGTGTAACCTTGACCTTGCACTATACACACATGGGACACTATCCCACCTCTGCTATCCCAACCCAACATGGTTCTCGTGTTCCATAGATATTAAAGAGAGTTTCAGCAATTACTTATGGTTGTCATTTGTCTTTTTAAGAGTTCTTGTGAAAGTGTGTGGCACTCTTTCCCCTATTTTACCAGCTAACCCTGCAGTAGTCAGGTACTCTGCTATAATTCACACTTTAAGAAATTTCAACAATAGAAAAATGAATTATATTGCATAACAAGAACTTTAGAAGTAGGGCATCCAGGTCTGGTTCATTCAACAAAGTCATCAAGGATCTGGGTTCTTGTCTCTCTGTTCTGCCTGCCAGTGCCAGCTACTTCCTCAAGCTCATAAGATACCTGCAGCAGCTCTAGCCATCACCTGTTCTCACATCTGTGTTCAAAGGCAAAAGAAAGTTTCTCCCTCTCTGTGTGTATGTTGAAGAGCAAAAACCTCAGTTCTTGTCACGTGTCATTGGTAAGAATTGTCGCACATCTCCCTGTGTCTAAACCAGGTCCTGGAACGTGAGGTGAAATTATGCCACGGGTTTAGGTTCATCAAGATCACCCCCTGCACTGGAGCAGAGCCCTGTGCCGGAGCATGCGGACTCTAAAAGGGTGTAAACACCAAAACAAAAGTCAGGTCCGGAGAAACATAGAAGAGCTGAGAACAGATTTTAGTAGACCATTAACAGCATTGTCACCGAACCCCGTGTCTGTTTTTGTTTTGCTTGTTTCTCCTTAAAAAAAAAGCCAGCATATTACGTTACTGATGAGAGTGGAGTTGGGGGGAGGGGTCGTGGTGGTGGTTTGTTGGTTTGTTAAGAAAAATGCCATCTCATCTCCCCTCTTCCCTGGCTGCTTTATCATGTGTCCTATTTTGCAGCTGGAACGTTCCCACCTTTGTTTACCTCTTCAAGTGTATCTGTCCTTCCATTATTTTTCCAGCTCGGTTGCCAGCAGAATGCAGAACAGTCTGGATAAATGAAACTGAGCTGACAGGTCTCTTAATGAAAGCTTGTTTGCACACACTGCATTTCTTGTGATCTCTCTGTACCTGAGAGCCTTTAGGTGAGGTTTTTTACATATGAGTGTTTGTCGTTCTTTTAATTAAGGCTTGTGGAGATGGATTGGTTTTTGTAAACCAGGCATTTCTCATCCCTAACTCCTTCCCTTTCCAAGCCCTCTCTGCCCACCCTCCTCTCCTCCTCCCCCTCCCTTCCTCCCCTTGCACAGCTACTCCCGGAGCCTCTCTAGCTGGGAGGCTCCTAATGGCATTCAGCTCAGTCCTTGCTGGAACCTCCTCCCAGTAGGCAATCTTAAATAAGCTAAACTCATTTTCCCATCATTGTTCCTCCCAAACATACACCACCATCGCGATATGAAGTTCTAAAAGAGGGTTCTGGTATCAGCTAGTCGCATGTTGAAGCGCCTGGTCGGACATGTTCTTCAGACAGGAGCGTTGGCATCCCAATTCACCATGGGACATAAAAGGTTCAAGCTCCTCTTGAAGGAATTTCAAAGACCAGCTACTTGCCCCGCGTGGTTATGTTCAGCGTCTCTTTAGAAGTACAGTATGCCTTTGCTCCTCTCGGTGTTTTGTTCCTGTAGAAACATGGCACTTTCTCCTGGCTCGATCATGATCTTGCAGCCCTGTGGATGGCGTGGAGCCCTGCTTCTCTCAGAGAGAGTTCTCTCTTCGAGCACCTTTTCCCCCTGCTTTCACTCGGGAAGGCTCCATTTGAAACCATGTTTCCCCTTAATAATATTGGGGGCACCTTAGGATGTCAAAAAGGCAAAGGAGTCCCCTTAACTCACTGCTGTAATATATTTCTTTTTTTCCAGATGTCTTTCTGAACAGAGAAAAATCTGAAGATCAGAGAGATGCAATAGAGAGCTCAGGAGTTGATCTAAATAGAAATGAGAAGCAGAAAAAAATAAGAAGGACCTGTCTCTCGATATTATGATTGCTCACAAAAACAAAACACGTTGATACAGCATGAAGGCAATTTAAAATGATAGATATTGATGCGCTGCCTTACATTTCATATCACCTCTTTACCAAATGAGAAATTTTTTTTTGAATGCATAGTGAATGTTTGCATAATACCGGCAAGTTTGACTTTCTGGAACCTATGTGAGCCTAGGAATATACATATTTTAGGATCTTAGCCAAGACCAGTGATAGCCTATTAAATGTGAAACAATTGACTTAAAAAAAAAAAAAGAGGCAAAACGACTGCTGTTTTGTAGTTTAATTTAAAGAAAGGAGTAACTTCTATCATTTGCAGACCTTGCTTTATTGGATTCTCCGATCGTGTATCATAACTATACCATTTTTGTTACCTAAAATAAAAATGTGTGCCCTGACTGGTATAGCTCAGTTGGTTGGACATCCTCTTGCAAAGCAAAAGGTCACTGGTTCGATTCCCAGTCAGGGCGCATGTCTGGGTTGCCAGCCCACCCTCTGTCAGGGCCTGTGCAAGAGGCAACCGATCAATGTTTCCCTCCCTCTGTCTAAGAATAAATAAATAAAATCTTTTTTAAATAAATAAAGTAAAAACGCAATTTTCCTGATATACGTGATTAATAATCTTTATTATTTGGGTCGTTCTCTCTCTCCACCCTCGCTGCAGGCCAAGCACAGGCTGAGCATTTCTTCGAGCATATTGTAGCACCTTATCAGTCATAATCTGTCACCTACAATTATTAGCTCATATGCTTATCAGGAAAATTGTGGAGAATGTAAAGTTTTTATGCATTCAGTCAAAAATGCCAGATCTAAAATAAGTTGGTTTATTTCCTGCAGTCTTTCAAGTTGACCAAAGCACTCACTGATTTGCTCTATTTTCTTACGTTTTTAGTATTTCTGTGTATATATATATATACACTGAAAAGCCCAGCTCAGAAAAAAATTCACTGCAATTCTGAGAAAAAGCTTATCCTAAACATCTAAAGATAGCATTTCTAATTATTGTCTACATTGTGTTTAAACTGTGCAAACTTGAGCATTATTCTCACTTTACCAGCTGTGTCTAGGTAGAGTCATTACATCAAGCACTTCTAATTTTACAAAAAGAAATCAAAACAAGTGTGTGTTTAAGTCTCAGTGACAAATGCAAACCCTGTGAGTCAAATAGGCAAACTGATTAGCAAGCTGGCTGGGAAGTCAAAACAGAAAAAGTAAAGAGATTAACAAAATAGAACTGTAAGAGGAGAGGGGTAAAAATAGCCTCCACGGGCCGAGCGGGGTCCACAATCTTTCCCTCATCCTGGGTTCTCCCCGCCCCCCGCATCACAGTTTCTCTCAGCCAGCCTCTGCAAGGATGCAGAAATCCTTAGAAACCTAAGAGGGGCCGCCTTTCCTTCACTTGAATCTTTCTAGTTCAATGGTACTCAGTACCTTACAAGGTGGTCCAATCCATTAGCAGTAGCTGTTTTTCTGGCCTTTGGCAGTGTTATTAATTAGACACTTATTAGATCCTTAGGTCTTTGTATTACGCTACAGACCTTTCATGAATAACACTTGATTTAATCTGGTGGGATAGTCTTATTTTTACAGATGAGAAAACCCAGGCCAAGAGAGGTGAAGCGACTTGCTTAGCTTATAAGTGTGGCAGAGCTGGGGTTCCAAAGAGGCCTTTCTAGCTGAACCTGAGCTGTCAACCACCACACTCCCTGCATTCCTTTGCTCTGACAGGGAGCCATGATTTGCCCTTCTACTATTTCCTATTCTTGGCTCTGGAGCCCCCATTGAATAGTTAACCCATTCTGGTCCCCTCAATGGACAGAGCAGAAAGGAGTAGGTCTGCTAGGGTCTCTCTTTAGTCTGGGGAGCTGAGGGTAGTGAAGAGAGAAACAAAGAACAGAAGGTACTATGGTCTGAATGGGCCCCCTACCCCCAAATAAATATGTTGAAATGCTACCCTTCAGAGATGATAGTAGGAGGTGAGGCCTTTGGGAGATCCCAAAATCATGAATGGGCAGGGTGGGGGGGAGGAACACTGATCTCATTAGTGCCTAAGAAGCCACAGAGAGATCCCTTGCCTGCTGCACCACGTGAGGATGCAGCGAAAAAGCACTGGCTTTGAACCCCAGAGAGGTCTCTAATCTGACTGCGCTGGTGACATGATCTTGGACTTCCAGCCTCCAGAACTGGGAGAAATTTCTGTTGTTCCTAAATTACCCAGTCTGTGGTGTTTTGTGATAGCAGCCCCAATAGACAAATACAGGGGGTAAGTGATGAAAAGCACGAGCCTCCTTCTGAAAAATAAATCCAGATCTCCCTGGGTGATCCTGAATTAACCTATCATCCGGGCAACGTGGCATGTTTGGCATTTTATTTCTCTCCATCGTGTGTCCCTATGGAATTGCTACCTCACTTTCAGAACTTTTAATTGTGGGAATAAGTAAACACATCTCTCTGAGATTAGGATATTTAAAGACTTAGTTTGCTTATTGCTTTTCAGTGCTGACCTGGGCAGTTCAAGTTAATATTTCAAACCAATGAAAATGAGTTGGTGAAGCCAAGTCACCGGACAGTGATAGCCTTTCTCTCCAGTTGTCACTTGGTTTCAAGGAAAGAATTCTCAATAACAAGCTAGTCCTAGTAAGAGGTAAAAATAACCACTGGGAATGGGATTCTGGCTAAGGTTCAGTTTGACTCACTGTCTTAAGAGCCTGGGAGAAATGAAAGCTGCCTCCAAGTAACCAGGGTGGAAAAGGCACAGCTAGAAAGTTGGTGCACCCCAGCAGGTTGAAGAGTTATTATGAGAACTTTTATTCAATAGATGAAGGTGGATATGCAAGACCGATCTAGTCTGTATGTAGATTATAATATTCAAAAAGAGGCTGAAACTCCAACAAGCCTTGAATTAAAATCAGCCTGCCTTTGGACCCCACTGCTTCCAAGAGCTTTTGTGTCAAGAAGAGCATTGTTCCGGTTGCAGAAAGGCTGACAACTTCATTTGCCAACACCAGCCTCCCTGTAACTTGCCCAGGGACTTTGCTTCGCGGGCCCTGTCTCCGACATCCGGGAAATGGACCTCATGCTGCGCTTGGAGGCAGATGCGAGGAGACACAGGGCCCAGGCCGGTGGCTCTAATGTCTAAAATGTCTAGAGTGTCCAGTGTCTAGAATCGCCAGAAGCTTGTTGCAAATAGATTCATTTTCTTCTCTCTAGTTGGGCTCCTCAGCTCCAGGGCGTAGCCCAGGAAGCTGTATTTTTTTCCCTCACTTCCCACAACAATCAGTGACTGAACAGCGTGGCCAGCAGAACTGGGAAGAGGATGATAAAAAGTCCTCGGGGCTTTTTGGAAATATCTTTGCTATTTCCAAATAGTAACCGAGCCAGGGGAGAGAGGCCTCAAACAAACAAAAAAAGTAACCAAGACCCTGATGCAATACTGAGCTGCTGGGTTTTTAATGTACAACATGAGGATTGGCAAACAGCTCCAAAGCGTGTCTATCTGCCCTCTGCAGGGTGGCGGGGCGCCGAAAACAGCTGAATACTCAGGCAGGGGCACCTAACTAGAGGCAGGGCGCTGTCAGGGCCACACGGCGGCGGTGGTGGTGGTGGGTGGGGAGGTCGGGACCCTAGGCAGCAGCAGGCCTGGTCTCAGAGCCTAGGAGGAATCTAAGGGGCGGGAGAGGTGGGTGAGTCCTTAGGGCAGAGAGGTGTCTCCGGGCTCCTGGGGTGAGGGGAGGGGTGTCAGGGTAGAAAGGGGTCTTAAGAGTCTAGGAGGCCCTAAAGGTAGGCGGGGTATGTGGTCGATGGAAGGGTATGCCTCGGGGGGTTCTCGGGGCTGGGGGAACGGTGCTCCAGGTGGAGGGGGTATCTCAGCATAACTGATTGGAGAACTCAAGGTAGAGGGGACTTCTGGGGAGACCTCGGCCATGGCGGAAGTGGGACTGCCGGGTAGAGGATGTCTCTGGGAGCAGAGGGAGAAAATCAAGGTGGGGGCAGTGTCTTGGGGCAGATGGAGGGGATCTCAGTGCGCTTGGAGGAGTGTCAGGGTGTGGAAGAGGTCCTGAGGCACCTGGAGGGGATCTCGGGGCTCTAGGAGGGGGTGTCAGGACATGCAGCGGGCCCGGGGCGCCCAGGAGCTCTCCAACACAGGCCGGGCAGGGTGCGCTCAAACCGTCTTGCACTCGCTGTCTCGCCGCCGCTTCCTGCGCTCCTGCGCCTGGCGCGTCCAGGGCCCGGGCCCGCACAGGCCCACCACGCAGCAGGCCAGCCGGCGCCCCGCGTTGCCGTTCTCCAGGCTGGCCGGGTTGCCGCCGCGGCCCAGGTCGTCCTCGCCCTCGTGCACCACTACGGCTCGGCCCACGATCGAGTGCGGGCCGCTGAGCGAGGCAGCGAGGCCGGCGCGGTACTTCCAGAGGCTGCCGTCCCGCACGGCGAAGTTGCCAAAGTCGCCCGGGTGCTGCGGGTGCTGCACCCCCAGCGGGTTGTAGTGCGGCCCGGTGGACTCACAGCCCTGGCTCAGGTCCCCGAACTGGTGCACGTGGATGGCGCGTCTGGAGCCGTTGGGCTGGGCCGGGAATCCCTCCAGATTGAAGAAGGCCTCGAGCTGGGCGCCGGGCGCAGCCTGCCGGAAAAACACCACGCCGGTGACCTGCGGCTGCTCCGCGCCCAGCGAGGCCGACGGCCGCACCTGGCAGACGGCGTAGAGTGCGGGGTCCTGGCCGCCGCCCGCCGCCCGCCGGGCGGCCACCTCCTGCCAGATCTCCGTCACTTTGGCGTGCATGTCGCGGATCTGCTCCTCCGTGCTCAGGTTGGCGTCCGAGGTGCAGGCCACCAGGAACACGCAGGCGCACAGCAGCGCCAGCATGGCTGCAGTCCGGCACCTGCAGGTATCCCCGGCGGAGGGGGCAAAGCGAGGCTTCGTCAATAGAGACAGGAAATCTCTGGGACCCCCAAGTCCTTGGATCCCGTTCATCCTCACCAAGGAGTGACCTTGCCCACTCTTTCTTTCAGCCCGTATTTCTCCAGGGCTTTCTGGGCCCCAGGAACTGTGTTAACTGTTGCCTGGGTTGACACAAAATCTCAAGAAACTCATAGGGCTTTTTATGAGCTACGGATTTGACCTTGGTCCTCTCGAGTCCTCCCTTCATGAGCGCGGAGTCTCAGGGCAAAGGCAGGGTGTCTCAGGGCCCATGAAGGGAATCTCATGGCCCTTCCAGACCTCCCCCCTCCTCCTCTCCCCTCCCCTGCCACTCTCCAAGCATCCTCCCTCACAGGCCTGCCTGAGACCTGCTGCCCTGCCGCCCTGATCTTTGCAAAGCTGTGCCCTCTCTAAAGTGTCCTATCTCCCTTCTCTACCATGCCCAGTAGACTTGAAGACAGAAACTCGGTTTTATTCCTCAGTATCCCAAGCACCTGGGCCCACACCTGGCAGTGGGGAACATTTAATATGTGATCGTTGAATGAGGAGGAGTTCACTGAGTGACAGATGCATCATCCAATCATTCCAACCTCATTCTGTGATTAAAGATGGAGACTTGTGCTAGGGGTGGATGGAGGAAGTAGTGTCCATGTCCCCAGGGGGGAATCCAGGAAGGCTTCCCAGAGGAGGTGACTTTGAGCTGGCTCCTACAAGTAGTTTTTCAGCCAAGCCTGGCTGGAATCCCATTTCTGGCAGAAGGCACAGCATGACATAGTCACAGGCTATGGAAGGACACTGTTTGCTTTGGTGATGGGGAGAAATTCAATGTGGCTGGAACCTGGCCTGTGCCGCCAGGGAGGAATCGAAGCCCAAGAGCGAAATTTGAGCTAGGGACTGAGAGGCTGGGTTTGCTGTGCTGAATGTGGATGTTAGCTGGGAGGCTTGTGCTGGTGGAAGTTTTAGGCAGAAAAGGGGATGATGAGGTAGTTTTTTAGTTCATTAAATCTGGCAGGAGAAAGGATGTGGGTTGGACTTTGGTGATACAGAGGATAGGGGAGAAGGAATGGGAATAGCCTAGGCAGAGATGGAGACACAGAGAAGGTGAAATGGAGACAGTCAGAGGGCGATGAGATAGGAGGCTGTTGCAAGAACCCCAGCCCGCAATGAGGAAGGTTTTTTCCAGGGTGGAGGCAGCAGAGGCAGAGGCGGGCAAGGGCTGGGGAGACATTGTGGGAAGCGTTGGGGGAGGGGCGCATAGAAGATGACTGAGTTCTCAGGGGAGAACGGGCATCTGGATGGTGGTCTGAGGCCCCAAGAGGAAGGAGAGAGGGGGAGATGCCGGCGAGTGCTCAGGTGGGGCGTTTGGCGAACGGCTGGAACGGGACTGTGGCACCTGGAAGAGGTGGTATAGCTGGGGATTGTTCTCCGTGTTGCCTGCACATGAGATTCTGACTCTTAAAAATCAGAGTGCCAGGTTCCACCTTAAGGGATGGGCTGGAATTGTGCCTTAAAAAAAAAAAAAAAAAAGGCTCTAGCAAAGATTCTGGAACCCAGCCAGGGATTTTAGAGTGAGACACAGATTCAAATCCTAATCCCAACGTATAGGATTTGTGACATCATCAAGGAAGGTATGACTGACCCTTAGCTACTTGTAAAATACGGCCAGTCATACCACCAAGGGTCACAATGTGGATTAAATGAGATGTCATATGTCGGGCTATTGTCACACCTTTAAATCTGCCCAGAGAGATCAATGTCACGTCCAAAAAACTGATGCAAGGGTCAGCTGCGCTTTCAAAGGCCTTCTCCAACCCCAGAGCGAGCGCCATTCTAAAAGTCAACGCCAGGGTCCAGTGTGCACCCTTCCCATCACCACCATAGAAAGGCGATCTGGTAGGGTGATTACAAGGACAGACTCTGAAATTCACTGCCTCCGTCTAAAACCTGACTCTGCCGTGGACTCTAAGTGTGAGCTGCTACCATTACTTCTATTGCCGAGCAGCCGAGAAAATGCTGGATCGCCAGCCCTCGTCGGGCTTCCCCTCCTCTCCAAGCCTCAGTTTTCTTACTCTGCCAATAGCGATAATTACACGTCCCTTATGGGTTTGCTGTGAAGCTCAGAAGAGGCTGAGCTGGACAATTAGAATTGCTAACATTTATTGAACACACGTGCCAGGCACTGTTAAAAGCACTTGCCGTGTGTGAATTCATGCGACCCTCCCAAGAACTCTGTGGGGTGTTATTGTCCTCCCCCTTCTGAAGTGAGGGGAAACTGAAGCACAGAGAGGCGAGTGTTTTGCCCAAGGTTACGCACTCGATGACAGTTGTGGACAAGACTGGAAAGCATGTGGTCTTCTCCGAGCCCCTAGCTTAGACACCACTCTAAACAGCTCTCCTTGAAGGGCCGGAGCTCAGAGCCTGGTACCTAGAAGGTTCTCAGTAAATGGCAGCTCCTTTCTTAGACATCAGAGACAAACTGCTGATAGAAAGTTCAGGGCCCATGTGCTGAGAGATGATATCAAAGCCGTGGGAAGAGGAGCCCAGGAGAGGCTCCAAAAAGGAGCGGCAGGTAAGGGGGAAATGCCTCCGACATGGCCTGGTGTGGCTCACTTCCCTGAGGCCCAGGGGGCAGGGACCGTCCTTGCCAGACCCCAGCCTCAAACTTTCCAGCCTCGGGAACCACCCCCCTCCTTCTGAGGCAGTTCTACCCCTTGGAACTTACCCATTGGAAAGTTCTTCCTTAAAAACATAGAGCAAAAACAGATTGTTTACTTTCAAGAACACTCGGGTAATAATTAACATGTTATGGAGACAGTGTTTTCTTAACGAAAAGAAAATTCTCCCAGAACCCTGCGGTAAGCCCTGACTCCCTGTTTCTTAAGGCTTTGACTTCAGTCCCTGGAGGCCAGCTGGCCTCAGGCTCAGCCTTCTTGCACAGCTTCCCCCGTAGTTTGATCTGTAGATGACCAAGTGGTTTTTTTCAGGCCCAGCTCTGTGCCTGGTCTGGAGGGGAAGACAAGATTATCAGAGACCAAAAGGCTGCTGAGCCTGTGCCTCCTTCCTGGGTCTGGATCCGAGAAGATGGCAGCCTGGTACGTTCTAAACCCTCAGCCTACTCGTAGAAGGAGCCCCCTGGGGGCTTGAGCCACCCGGCCTGCCCGTCTCTTCCTCCCACAAGCAGGTGGCTTTTTCTCAGTAGCTCCTGCCGCCGTCTCTCCACCACCACCGGGCCACGCAACATCCAGACAGAGCAGCCTTGCTCCCTCCAGATTTCTCTTTTCTAACACTGAAGTCCTCTCAGTCTGGCCGTGGCCCATCCAAAGCAGAAAAGCTTTCTGTCCCACTTGCCTTCCTCGCCCCTCTCCCCAGCTGCCCTCTCATCCCTCAGAGCAGCCAGCTTCTCTGTTTCTCCCTCAAGAAGACGATTGAATACTTTTCCAAGATGAGGCCCGATGTCCCACCCCGGTTTCAAACTCTTACTAAACAAAGTCTGAGAAGGACGAAATGAACCTCAACCTGGTACCCACCTTTCCAGCTCTTCCGAGTGTGGGGCGGCGGGGGGGGGCAGCACCCAGCAGTCGTCAGCTGCGGGAATGCAGACCGACTCCTGCCGCTGGGCTGTTTGTGGGTGTGCCGGGAAGCCAGCCCAGGGGAGTGGTCACCCTGAGGAAAGAAGGTCATTGGGCCAGTTAGGGAGGGAAAGCAGGCCAGGCTGGCCCTTGATGAATTGCCTCATCTCCTTCTCCTTGGTTCCCTCCTCCCCTCATCTCTCCCCAGCCCCGGGCTCCCTGGCCAAGTATTCCTTGTTGTGACTTCACTGGTTTGTGCAGACGTAGCCAGTGACCTTCAGCACGCAGCAGCGGGGGAATAAAAATGAGACAAAAAAATAGCCTCTTTGGAGAGGTGTACAATGGTTTCTTTCTTGAGAGGCCCTTTGCTCTCACCCGACTTCCTCAGCCATTGGCTTATTTTTGCTGGACACTTCTACGATAGAAGTGGACACCTGACTGACAAATATGCATGATGTTTTCTCAGAAGTGCGTCACGTCACCTATGAGACATGAGAGGCAGGTGTGGCAGCACAGGATGCAGAGTGCCAGCTGTGTCCCTTCCTAGTGATGGGCTCCTGGACCAGCCAGCCCCCTGTGCCTCCCTTTCCTTGTCTGTAAAATGGGGATATAATGCTAACCAGTACCATCATCACCGGAGCTGCTGTCACTTTGTTACAGAAGCTGTGAACGAGCACTGTAAAAGAGTGTGAAGTCTGGGCAAGCCGTGGGCCCATTCCATCCCCAGTGGCCTTTCTTCCTTTGCTGCTGGGATCTCTTCTCAATCACAGAGCCCCTTCCAAAAATAAGAGTTTTTGTTCTCCAGAAAAGCCCACATGGGGAAAGGCAGCTTGCCTGGCCGCCTGTGTGTCTCCGGCCTTTCCTTCAACAAACATTTCATGGGCACTCTCTCCATGCCAGGCACTGCGCTGCGTGCCCAGGGTCTGAGGCCACAGGAGTCCCTGCCCTCCAGGGGCTCGGCTCTGGGGAGGGAACAATGGCATGAACAAGTCTGTCCACTACCGAGTGGGAGGTGCAGCTGGGGATGGAGGGACAGTGCCCCCGGAGGCCCAAACTCCAGTCCTCACCACAGAAAAGCAGACTTCTGGGCCCCACCCCAGACGGAGTCCATTGTCAGCAAGAGCTTTCTGCAATCATCTTTGTAAAAAGCTATTCATTCTAGGGAGGAGCCATGCTCGGGAACCATTACGTGGCAGGAAGAGCTCAAACAGAAGATCTTTGGCCGGGAGTAGCCATTCTGGAAGCTAAGATGGAGACTCCTGGGAACTCAGAGATTCCAGAGCCTCTGCCTGCCATCCACCCTGCAGGCTCACTGAGAGCTCAAGCCTCATCCACTCAGTCCCTGCTGCTCTGCGTTCTGCGGCTGGGTGTAGTTGTCCTGGCCTATTGGCTTTTCATGGTTCCAGATGCCACCTCCCACCCCGCCCACCCCCACAACATTCGGCTTTCTCACTGTGAATTGTTCATCATAATTTTTGGATAAATCTGTATTTTTGTTCAGTTCTTGAAATAATAATTATTCAGGGTGGGGCAAAAGTAGGTTTGCAGGTCAACGTGTCAGTGTGTGGAGTGCAAGGGAGTCACTGATGTTACAGAGATAATTACACCGTATTAAAATCACCTGTCGTTTCTAACTTTTATCTCCCCTTTAGGCTGGGAGGTAGTAGAGTATAATGATTAGCAATCAGAGAGTCTTGAGTTTAAATCATGACTTCACTATGTTCTAGCTCTGCAACTTTGGACCCATTCCTTCTCCTCTCTGAACCTTATTTCCTTATCTACGTAGTGAGGAAATTAATAGTCATACAACAAAATCATGGCAGGCATTAAATAACATGATATATGAGAAAGTGTCTTGTAAAGTGTTCCGTTGCAAGCCAGAAAACCCAACCCAAACTCGCAAAATAATGTATTGGCCCTCATAATGAAGAGTTAGAGCTTCAGGCATGGAGAGATCAAGGGGCTCCAATACTGCTATTGGGTCCAGATTTCACCCTACTTTTATTCGGCTTTCCTCCATGTTGGCCCTCTCCTCAGACAGGTTCTTCCTTAGTGGGGCAAGGTGGCTGCGATAACTCCAGTCCTTCTCTTCCAGTTTCAAGTCCAGGGGTAAAGAGAGGATAACGCTCTTCGAACAGTCCCAGCAAAAGTGCCATTGCATCTCACTGGCTCTGAATGGATGATCCTGGAACCAATGCAATGCTGTGATTGGTCATGAGCCCCCCTCTGGAGCAAGGGGCAGAGTCAATGGCCCCTGCATTGCCTGAAAATGCCGTGGCTTGCAAAAAGGAAATTGGGGTGCTATAGCAAAAGGACAGGGCATTGAATGTTGCCAGGGTTGGGGTAGATTTCCCCCAGAATTCCATATGGTGATCTGTCTTGGGCCTTAAAAGAAGTAAAATTAGATTAAATGAAGAAAGCATAACTTGGTAGAGTAGTCATGAACTTATACATGGCTACTATGTTAAAAAGCAGGTTTGTGGTTGTGAGTATGCACAACATAGAGTTTATTCTTGTATTATTATTTATTAATTATTGTATTATTTTCTATACCAACAACTGTAAACCTCCTTTTGCCCCACCCTGTGTGCAGAAGAGATCTCTGTTAGACGATTTTGTACTTCTTTTATACAGAAATACCAGCGGTACATAGCTTCCTTTTCACTGTGTTCAGAAAACCGATAGAATTAAATTCTCCTGGGAAATCAGTGGTTACCACGAGGAGAAAATTTTTTAAAGCAACAATTAGGATTTCAGGCTGCCTCCCGTAAAAACCAGGCTCTGTCTGATGACAGCGGACCCGACCAGAGGATTTCAGAGACACCCGAGAAAGTGTGTCTCGTCTGTCCAAGGTTCTTCCAGAAGCCCCCAGGGGAAGGGAAGCAGAGCCAGGTAAGTCATCATTCAATCTTGGATCCTGTCATTTTGTCCAAACACATTTGGGTAATGTGGGGACAAAGAGATCCTTGTTGGCAAGGTGGGCAGGAAGAAAAGAAGCATCATTCTTATTAATAAGAATAAAGTAATAACATCTAACATGTATTAAGTGCTTCTGTGTGCCAGGCACTTAGTAAGCAATTTACATGCACCTTTTTATCTGAATTAATGGCACTGCTCCTCCATGAAAAGACAGGTTGCATTCTGTGTCTACGTCACATTCTGGCAAGTTTCCTTTTCACTACGAACGTGCCACCCCTTCCACTTAAGGGTCAGGACGATGTGTTTGACCCAGAAGGTTATGAAAACCAGTCAGAACCAGGAACTTCTCAAGTAGGTACACATGGCTGGCCGTGTGAGGACAATGACCAATGATCAGACGCAAAAGCAATGACTTTGCTGACCAGCAGGTATGTATCAAGTCTTCTCTCAGAAAAACACCAGAGTGAAATCCCTCTAAGCTACATTTTCATGGACTCTGAGCCTGTACCTGTGAGAGGAAGCTCGAGCCATTCCTACTTTACCATATAAAAACCAGAGACTGCCCTGCCTGGTGTGACTCAGTTGGTTGGACTGTCATCCTGTGAACCGAAAAGTTGCATGTTCAATTCCTGGTCAAGGCACGTGCCTAGGTTGCAAGTTCAGTCCCTGGTTGGGCCGTGCACAAGAGGCAACCGATTGATGTCTTTCTCTCACATTGATGTTTCTCTCTCTCTCTCCCCCTTCTTTCCCCTCTCTCTAAAATCAATGAGCATGTCCTTAGGTGAGGATAAAAAAATATTAAAAGCAAGATACAGTATGAGTAACTTCAAAGCATAGCCAAGGTAGCACTGATTTCCTCAAAATAATGGCAAATGCATTCCTCTTGGAAAGAGAAACCTTTTTCAGCTTATTTTCTAGTTGTATTTATTTAAAAATATTTGTTGAGCCCACAGCCATACCTAGTACCCATGTTCTTGCTGCCTCCCACTATAGAAGCTGGAAAGCCAGATGCCTGCTCTCCCAGCATCCCTTTCAGCTGGTGGTGGTCATGTGACCTAGTTATAGCCAATGAGACATAACCTGATGTGACTTTCTTCTACTTTTATTATAAAAGGAACAGATGTGATTGATGACACCCCTTCCCTGCTTCTTTTGCCTTGAGTGTGGATTGAAAGGTTAGCAATGTGGCAGTTACCTTGAGACTATCGGTTAACAAGAATGAGAACAAAAGGCCAACATGCACGGGGTGGAGGAGGGGAAAGATGCCAAGATCCCAGGTCCTCAAAAACATTATTGAAACAATAAACAAAATCAACTGAAAACTAAAGGGGTAAAAAGTGCCCCATTGAGCACCTCAACCAATACAGGTACAGCCCTAATCTTCTCTTCACAGGAAAAAAAATATACATCGATGTGTTCCACTGTTAGCGGGTTTCTCTAACAGCCAAATTTATGCCTAATGGATGTAGTTAGGTACCAGAGCCCATCCTGAGCACCATGACTATGAGGGGTGGGAACCACAGCCTCACTTTAAGCGTTCATAGTCTGTTTGGAGAGACCTATATGGGAGGGGCCGTAGAATCCTCCCCAACGTCACTCCTATATTTCACAGGAATGGACACTGAGGCCCACAGTGTGTAATGGACTCATCCAGTGTCGCACCTGTTAGGCGCAGAGAAAGGACTTAAGACCAGTTCGCCAAGCCTTCAGGTTGGTGACCTTCTACCCTATCGGTTCTGAGCTCCATTGGCCGTCTCTCCACCTCCCCCGGTGACCCCTCACACACACGCCTCCCCCCACCCCCGGCCTATCGTGCAGCCTCAGGGTAACGAAAAAGTGCTCTCCCCTCTCAGCTGGCCTGGCCCAGTCCCTTTCCCGCACAGCCGCAGAGTGACCAAACCAACAGCACACATGGGCACAGCAACCCCGGGGAGCATGTGAGAGATGCACAAACATCACAACATGTGGAGAACAGAATCTAGGGACAGAGGTGGTGAAGCTTCTCTACTCCTAGGTTTATGGAAAACTGTTGCTGGGAAAAACTATAGAGGAAAAGTCTTTTTGATTCAGCCTCCATTTTAGAAAATGAGTTAGGAAGTCTGAATGCTGACAGGATTCAAAAGTTTCCAACTCAAGGCCCAGGGAGGGCAATGGTCAGGAAAGCAGCCGGGTCCTCACTCAGAAAGTGAATCCTGCATGGGTCTGGCCACTCTGAAGTGAAGTCTGCAATGGAATGGGTCACAGCTCCCATCACAGCCTCCAAGCTACTGTCACCCACCAAGGTCACCCAGAATGTAAAGCCACAGGACAGTGGCATTGGGAAGACTGGGAATTTCTGCATTATGGCCCTAGTAGCCTATTGTGACTTTCATTTCACAGAGTGTTAAAGCAATCTTATAAAGCGATCAAGTTCCTCACAGGGCTCTGAGCCCTGGCCCAGCTGCGCAGGACGCCCTCTTGCCCTTCCTGGAAAGAGCCCAGGAGTAGCGTCAGGTCTCAAGACATCGCCTCATAGGAGGGACGTGATAGGAGCTGCTGGCACTCTGTCCCCCTCCCCGCTGGGGATCGAGGCATGGAACTTTTCAAATGTTTTTCCTACCTTCTTTCCATCTTAGCACAAGAAATTTTTACACTGGCCTTTCTCCACACAACTGTTATATGAGAAACAGGAGTTTCTCTCTTATGGGCCTATTTCCCGCAAAAGGCAAAGCAGAAGAAATGGAATCTGACTATCGGCTTAACTGTTTGATTTTACTTATAGAGACATTTTAATAATCAGAGCGTTGTTCTGCTTGGGTAATATTGACAAGGATAAAGTTAAAATTTCATTTGTGACCACATTCATTATATAAACACTAATATAGACTTGAAATTATTTTAAAAATACATTTACAAGAAGAGAACAAACGTTTTTAAAAAAAAAAAAGCCTATGCATGGGCTGAAACCATTGTCTTTCTCTCTCTCCCCCTCTCAATTCTAATCCTTAAAGTTATTTAATCTCAAACAGAACTTGAATATTTACTGCAACAGAAATTGAAGCTCAAATGTCTATGGCGGCCAAGAGGGTCACGTGGTGAATAAAGTGGGCCAGGTCTACATCGTTGCCTTTTTGTCTTTAAACAGACAGCCTTTTATCTACATTTTGCCTTCCCATTTTAATGGAGATATTTACTGGAAGAAATATTTGTCTTCTATGAGAAGAAGAACAAGAGCCCATTGAAAAATGGCAATTCAGCCCCGGTGCCTGGGAGACCACAGAGATGACTGGGAACTGGAGGGGACATGCCAAATCTATAGGGGGCAGCAGCTGCTCAACCATATGTTGCCACGTGGGAACGCCGCCTGCTACTGCCAGAGCGTCTGTGTCTCAAGAGAGGCCAGAGATGCAGGTGTCTATGTGATTCCCCTCATTTTTTTAAATGATGGCTTAGTAGTGTTATTTCCTGCCTATCAGAGATACATACTAAATATAAAGACAGGTAGATTGCAGTAAAAGGATGAAAAACAAT